TGAACCGCGAGTCATTGGAAGGACTTGCTAGCAAGTCGTCTTCAGTTGTGCCAGTTTAACGACTTCCTCGACGCGGCACGTCTTACCTGACTGATCAGCGGAGGGTCTAGAGTCTGAATGAAAGATCCCAGCAGTGGAAGTAAAAGGCTGAGGGCCTGCTGCACACAAGGCTGACCCGTTACCTTAAATGACAGACAAAATAATTGTGGTGGAAATGTTCAATTACGTGTGAACAGCAGCCTTTTAATGAGCTTTTGTTACATACCTGGGTGCTTTACATTCACCTCACTTACACCTGACGAATCTATGGGGGAAATGTGGTTACAGCCTCACTTTACTAGTAGAAGGGCAGAGAGGTTACGTAATCTGCTCAAGGTCATGGCTAGGGAAAAGCAGAGCCACAATCCCAACCCGGGTAACTCAATGGAGATCTGATTACTTTCGTCTGCCACCGATAAGCTTCTCCATTCCTGAGTCGTCTTAAAATTCCATTTCTCCTCTCCGTAACCGCTCCTCCCTGATGCTGTAAGCTCTGCCACCAGCAGGGAGCTCTTCAATGCTTCGTGAGGATCCCGGGAAGCCCTGGCTGAGGGCAAATGCCGCAGCAGGGAATCTGGTCCCACACTCACTTAACTGGTGAACACCTGCAAACCCTTTCCTACGACTTCCCCCACACGTGAATGCTGCCTCAGCTTCTCCTGGCTGGGACAGCCAGAGGCCACGTATTTACTTCTACTTAGTCAAAGAAAACAAATAACGTATTTAGATTTTTAAACCACATAACATTTTCGAACGACAATCATTCCTACTCTAGCCCAATCGTCACTTGGCTTTTGTCTTTGCCAGGGAAGAGGAATACAAATGAGCCCTATCCATTCACTTGCCCCTTTTACCTTTAAGCCCAAACGGCATTTTAAAAAAGCCCCAGAATCACAAAAACAGGCTACACTAACCCGAGAGAAGAGAAACATAGGGGAAGACACTAAAAAAAGGGCCCAAATGGTCAGGAAAACAGCTGGACTGTCACCACTCTTACTAGGTCCTAGTTTTACTAACATAATCTTATCACAGTCTTACGAAGACTGGCTGAAGGAATACTAACGCATTTTAAGTTCTATTCACAGGTGCTACCAGCATCTAAAGAAATGAGATGCCTTTCATAGGGAAATTTCAGTACCATACTCTTCCCTGAGTATTTTATTTGTTCTCTGGGGAAATGATCAGTTAGTTGCTTTCCTTACCAGGTTAGTGTTTAGAAAAGCCCAGAGCTGACTCCCAACTTCGATAACTGCAGCCTGCTGTCCAATATCCAGAGCTTCACGAGCAGAATGACACACAGCCAGCAAAGCAGAGAGCACTGTGTTCTAAGGGGAGAGACACAGAGAAAGGACCTGGGCTTAGAAATCAGCCTGAAAGAGCTGGCGGCCCAGTTACCTAGACATTGTAAGTTACTTATAAGTCTTCGTGAAAACCTTATAGAATTATATTCCTAAGACTCAAAACCATCTTTTCGCCTATTTCTTTAAATGTATTTTATTAAACTAATTTTCCTTAATACAGAACTATGTGCTTCATTTTTCTGAATAAACTTTTTTTTCTTTTAACAGGAAAATTTAGTAACAAAATGAAAACAGCATTGTATTTTAATAGATTTGATACAAATAGTACGGTCAGGCTAATTTTTTATATTCATCAACTAAAAATTCTGTTTTCTTCATACTATGCACCTAGCTCTCTATTTAAGTTACTAAATTTTCACTGTTGTTTTATAATTAATCTTTATAATTCCTTAACTGCATTCAATAAGCAAATACTACTTAAGGACTATGTTGGACTCGCTCTTATCCACATACCAAATCCCTCTCTCTGGCCAGGAGGAGTCTGGCTGGGGTGGGTGGGAGTGAAGCGAAGGCCAGACGGCGATGCAGGAATCAGTCTCAGGCTTTCCACCCATCGTAAGTCAACAACCGCAATTTTCTGTGATGACCACACAGCTTTGTATTTACGGTTTGCCTATTTCCTTTTACAATTAAACATGTTAAATGACCTGCCGAACTAAAATTTTGGTGGTAGATCAAAGTCTTATTCAATTTTAGAAAATAGGTGCTTTTATTTTACCTAAAAGATTTTTTATCTTTACTATAGAAATTAGTGCACAATAAATGTAAAACCTGAACCACCTAACCTATTCCTAACTAGGCATTCAATAGTTTTCTCAAAATAAAGGCACATAAATACTTTTATTTCCTTGGATACGTGTCAATATTTTAAATTATCTTGATAATTAGTGTCAAGTGACATTATAAAACAGACTATCAGAACATTTACACTCCATATGGAAATATAAGGCCTGAGAAAACTGTGAAGTTGTAATTTAAAATTACAAATAGGTCCCCAAACCCTCTGAGTACCCTGCCCCCAGCCTTGCTTTTCTCCACTTAGCACAGACTGATATACGTATTTATTATTTTACTGTCTAGCTAAGCGAGAATGTACGAGAGTAGGAATTTTTGTTTGCTTCGTTCCCTGATATACCTCCAATCCCTAGAACAGAGCTTGGCACATAAAATCACTCAAAATGTTTGAATAAATGAATGAGCAAATAAACACCGAACTGGAATGCCAACTATATATGTACTATAGTCAATTTTTCAAAATCATTTTTTTTCTTACAGATGAATTTCTTTTTCATTCCATCGTTTTATGAGGGAGCATTCTAAATAGAAAGGTAAAGACTCAGACCAGGGCTGCATGAAATGGGAGTTGTAGTTCAGCAAACAGGATCATGTGTGCCCAGCCCAGGGATGTGTCAGCAGAAAGACAACGAATAAAGTATTTCAGGATGGGTTCCCGTGCTCCAATGTGTCTTAAGCTTCAGACACCACCACCCGTCCCCCCAGTGAAACTGACATCAATCAAGATCACAGTACGTTTCTCAGGCCCTTTTCAATGCAGAAATCTGAACATCTTGCGAGGCGCTCACCTGAGGGCACAAGCCCTGCCCATCTCATTACAACCCGCCCCAGTTCCTAAAACGGGGTTCAGTCAACAGCTACGAAATGAATCAAGCCAGTCCAACACATTACTTACCAGAGAGTCCAGCTCCCCCAAGGTGCGGGTGCTGCTCAGCCACTTCCTGCACTGCGCAGTGCCCAGCCCGGCGACCTCGCGGGCAGTCTGCTCCCTCAGCTCAGCAGGTAACGCCTGGAAGGAAATGCACTGCCACAGCGGCAGGTTTCCTGCTGCTTTTGGGGGAAAGTTCTGGATAAACTCCACCTGAAATGGATTGTTAAATGAGAGTAACGTTAGACAGTCTGATGAATGGATGCACAAAAGCTAAGCATTCGCTTCCATATTTAAGATTTTTTAAGTTTTTAATTGAATAGAAGTATCCAGGCCAAGGTAACTTAAATGAACATGCGTTATTTTTTGCCGCCATTGCATGTTTCCAAAATGAAAAACACAGTTTAAGTGAAGCACAGTACGAGGTGCATTAAGAAACGTTAAAGCACGTGTTCCATCATTAATCAGGTCAGCTATTTTACTAGGCTCCTTCCCAGTAAATCTATCATTTCCCTAAGAATTTACTCATCGCCTTGTACAGTTAAGTCAAAAGTTAATATTCCAAAACATGCCAACAAGATTGGTCTGGTCAGCCTTTGTGGTTTACTGTCACCTTGGCGGACAGCAGCAGAGGCCTTAAAGCAGCACAGGGCAGAGGGCCAGTTTTCCAGTGGGCGGGCTGGCTCGGCCCCACTTCAGAGAGCGTACAAAGCGCGCTTCCTAAATGTGAGGTGCCAGTCTGGAACCACATGGCTGGCAAATCCATTACACCAGAAATAAGTCACAGCACTGGCCAGGTAACAGAAAAACTGCACTGTTTTGTTAAAATGAAGCATCAACAGACTAGATAAAAATGGAACACGGAAGTTCTTAAAAAGGTTACAATATTACTTTCTGGTAGAAAAACAGCAAAAACAATGATGCACTTAATTACTAAATTAAGTACATTCCAACCAGAAAGTATATTAATGTAATTTTTTAAGAAGTAATATATTTTACAGTATCCAAAATCCACTTGTTATATGGAAAATTTTCCTACATCAAAAGTGAAAAGAAAAAAGTCCACTATGTTAAATTTGACAGAGAATCTTTCTTGTGTTACATACTACATTTATATTTGGATTTCGTTTTGTTTGAAGAAAATACTTAGCTGTGAAAACAAGGGAGAAATCACGTGACTACCTTCAGGGACAGCTGCTAAAGCCAGAAAGACGGACCCCGCGATGAGCCATGTCCAACATGACCAGCAGCTCTGTGAGTCCACAGTGCATCAGGCAGGCGAGGGACTGTGCCAACTGCTAGACATCGGTTCACACGTGACCCTCCTTTACGATAAAGTCCCAAAGCAGAAACTATAAATGACAATGCCTCGGACAACGTGAAAGGGGAGGGGCTGCCGATATCCGTTACACAGAAAAAGTCATTTATTTATTCACGACTGAGTTTGGAAATCCTGGTCTCAACACGAATTTTAAAGACGTGAAATTGCCAGTGCCGACAGGAGTTCGGAAGGAGTTTAGGGACTAGTTCTCAGAGAATCGGATGTCCCTCCTTAAACCTGAGGATAAAAAATACACCAGTGGGCTCGAAATGCAAGTATAGAAACTTTTACTTTACGTAAAAATGGTAGCACAATTATCAGTGTGCTTATTGGGTATATTAAATCCTTTCCCCTCAGTGAAATAACCTCCTTGTACTTTGTCTCGTTTCTATAAAACAGGAATACAGTAACTTGACCACAGCAGGAAATCAGTATTTGAAAACTGAAGGAAAACATTAAAAGTAACCCCTCATTTGTCCATAACTTACATATCCAACAGCCTCAATCACTGGGAAAAATTTAGACAACTGAGACATACATAAAACGTCTGAAAATGGAGTTTGTCTATTTTATTTCTACCAAAGCTAACTGGCCTCACACAAAGCTACTCTGTTCTGAGTTGTTTTATACTAAACGTTAAAATTTCACAACCCTGGGAAAGGATCCTTTTGTCCCTATTTTCTAAGTGAGAAGACAGGGTGAGACCCTCTCGCCTCCGAGCCCCACGCCCGCAGGAAGGGCTGGAGACAGGCCAGCAACCAAGCGTCCGGCCTTAGAGGGAACCTGGAGCAGACAACTCGGGGAGTTTCAGGGAGAGCACGGCAGCCCTTGCATGTCCCCGAGCCTGGGCGCTCCTCGCTTCAGAGACACCGCAGGGAAGAGGGCTAGGAGGTCGGGGTGGTCCCCCGGTGCCTGGCAGACTCTAGGGCTGTGGTTAGAAAGAGCTCCCGGCACCTACCGAGTGCCACTCACACTGGCGCTATGCTAGTGTCTTCATAATTGTCTCTAAGTCCTTACAAAACTTTCCAAAATAGTCACGCACATCTGCCACTTTGCAGACAGAGAAACTGAGGCTCAGAAAGGATGACGTGCCCGAGGTCACACTAAGCCAGGGCTCAAACCAAGGCCTGTGACCCCCTCCCTAATCAGTGGTCCCCGAGCCCGTGTCCATGCGAGAATCACAGAAGAATTTAACATTAGCAAAAAGCCATTCGTGAGCCTCGCTTCGCAGCCACCACTCCACACCCGGTCCACTCGCAGAGGAAGGGCTGGGACCTGTATCTTCAAAGAGCTCCCACCGGAGCCTGAGGGACGGCGGGGGCTGCACAGGGCCCTGCACCTGCGGGACCCCGTGGTCACGGCGGAGTGCGTCTCTTCAACAGCTACCTGGGGCTCAGCCACCCCCGGTTCCCCGCTAAACGCTGAACTTATTACCATAAAAACAAATAAGAGACAGCATTAAGAGCATAAATAATATTCTAGCTCTTCAAATTAGGTAAAAAGGGCATGGTACACAGAACGATTTCAAGTATCTTAAATGTAGGAGCAACAAGGGGAAAGACGTTTCTGGAAGACAGAATCAGAAAGACCATCTAACCCGCAGCAAGGGCGCTGGCCAAGTCTCCCTGCCTAAACTCACGCCAGGCGCTAAGCCCTCTTCCCCACTAGGCTTTGGCCCTGGGCTTGTGTCCATCCTCGCGGGGCCTGCGTCACCCTAAGTGGGCTTCCAGAGAATGCCTTGCCCTTGGTCTCCGCTCACCTGGCCTGTGCTGAGCGAAAACCTTGGCAAGTCGGCGTAGCAAAAGCCGCCCCTTCCCCTGCTGCTTCCTCTTTGCGAATTTTACCCCCTGACGTCCACCTGCTCCTCGACTCTGAACCCCCTGCCACCGTGCCGTCCGCCAGCCCCAGAACCGAGCCGGAATGCGCACTGAAGCCTCTCCGCCCCCCACAACAGCTCCCGAGTAAAAGGCTTTCGCCACTTTCACAGCTGTGTAGCTCTGGCTTTTCTTTAACGGCACGAAAATCTAAACACACGTAAAAGCCAGAAGCAAAGCAATCATTACGTTAATAATTTACGCTTAGATAATATCAGCTTGTAAATGTAGAATAGGGGGAAAGGCCTGCAAAAGAGTCTGAATCCAACTCTCCGCAGCAGCTCAAAGATGGTGACAGATGATGTTCTTGCCTGCTGGGGTGGGGCCATGAAGAAGAAGAGACGCCTCAGCAGTACTGACAGGTTGGTGAGCTGATAACATTCTCCAGGGCAAGATTTTATCTGGGAAAAGGAGAGAACAACTAACTTAAAACCATAGTTTGACAAGCTTTTATGGGCCAAAAATTAACAGTGGCTCTTTCTGGGAGATAAGATTATAGGTAATCTTAATTTTTAATTTGGAGCTTTAATTTTTTTCTTCCATGAACCTACTTTTATAATGAGAAAATAATTCTGACGACGCTGTGGAATCTGTAACTACCGTTCTCATAAGGTGGTATGTTAATCCTCCTACTCAAAGACAATTCATGGAATCTCTTAGCTCTAACACAGTGGTGCCGAGGTGGATAGAATGCTACAATTTTCTGGAAATCAATTCCTATGATGTATTAGGACAGCTTTTATTTAAAGGAGACGCAATACACACACTGTAAAAATCACTATTGTTTTGTGCAAGATGTTTAATGGTTCCCTACGCTCCAGACCATAGGCCAGGCAGTCAGCTGTTCGGCTTATCATGCCCCCCTGCCCCAGGAGACTTGGTCCACAGCACCCTTAAAAGGTAAAGTGGGAAACACGTGACACGGTGACTCTACTAAGAAACAAAAGACACGTGGATCCACCTGAGATCTTACAAAGGCCAGGGACAAAAACCGAAACAACAAACAGGCCGTGACCGTTTTAAATAAAACAAGTGAAAACAAAACTCAACACTGAAGAGATTAAAATAAATCATCACTAGATCATTTTTTCTTTGTGGCCATTCACAAAGCCTTTTTCCCAAAAGGCATGGACCACTGTCACACTGAGTCCCTCCTATATCATCCTGGCTGAAAGAGAGTCAGCTCGGCCGAGTCACATTAGAGGCAGAGACCTCTTGGTCATCACCGCAACTCACTTTCTCATTCTCTACTTGGCATTCAATTTCGAATTTATTCTCAATTAACCCAGTCTTTCCCAGACAATGAATGAACTACAAAATTTTGAAAATATGAGACAATTTCCCATTTTACATTGTTTCTAGTAAATCTTTCTCAAAAGCATCAGTACTAACGCAGAGCAAAAAAACTGTCAAAACGATTTAGCCGCCACGCAGTTCACCTTTTGATATTTACTTTCTTTAAAATTCCCGCATCTCCAAAGGACTGTTGTGGAAAACGGGTGTCTCAGGCCTGTGATTCTACTCACCAGATGGGCCACTACGGTGACGTGATGGGCACAGAGCTCCGCGGTCCCATATCTGCGACACAAAGGGAAGGGAGTCTCTGTACGATTACACGATTACTCGGAGAAGCGAGGACGTGAACTTCCGTAAAGCTCAGACTATTATAAACTGCAGCTATCAACGTGGGCAAGGAACATCACCAACAAAACTACCTAAGCGACGGGTAGCTACTGACAAACCAAAGGGAAGAGGGAGCCCAGATCCCACTCTCGCGCGGGGACGTGAAATTTGGAGGGGCTATGAAAGGGTTACTGACAGAATTTTATAAGCTTACAAGTAAAAAGTACTTTACTGCCAGTCACTACTATAAATCAACCAAACACCAAAAAAGCAAGTGTACTGTACCGAGCGAGGAAGCACCACGCGTCCATGGCCAACAGAGAGGTGATCATGTTAGCGCTCAGCACGGCACGCAACAGAGCAGCATCCTGGCGAAAACACAGTTCGTCACAAATACCATTAACGTCGCATTTTCAAAATGAAACAGAACACTGTCACGATCCGAACAGCAGCAGCCCCTCGACAGCAAGGCTCTGCTTTCTAGGATCTGAAAGACGCACGCTGCCACTCCCTCAGGGTCCATTCGGCACCCGCCCCCCCGGGCACTGTGCTGGGTCGCACCGACTCAACAGTGGTTTTAAATGTGGTGGCTCCATCGTGAGGATCCACAGAAGTCTCTATGTAACCAGAACCTTTAAAACAGCCTATGTAACACATAAGCCTACGCGTCTGTTTCTGCCTTTAACTATTCAAGTACAATATTTAATACAGGCAGATATCACCCACTTATACCTTAAATGATACTGATCCTTGTGTAAATTCTAAAAATTTCTTCCAATTTCTTCAGCATCTTTTCTAATCCAATTCCATTAAAAAAAAATACATATGCCTGAGACCTATAATTACTACATACTACTATTTACCTCTTTTCTTTAAAAAACTGAATTAGGTAAAATTCACACATTTTCCTTTCCTCACAAAGTCTTTCCATACCGTCCCACCCAAAATGTTCTCAAATATTTTAGCTAAATACAACCGAATACTATAGGCCTCTAGCATTACCATTTCCTAGGACAAAACTGAGTTAAAAAGTAAAACGCACAAGCTGAGAGAATGACATCCGGAGAGCAAACACCGACTCTGCTGCACGTCCTTCTGTGTATAAATCACAATTTCAATGCGGAAAAGCTCAGTTCAGCAAGTAACAAACTTACCAGTTCGGGAAACAGTGAGGGATGAAAGGAAGCAATAAATGCACACAGATGAACACAAACGTGCTGATACAAGGTGACCGCGACCTCGGCCTGCCCCTGCCTCTTTACTCCCTGTAAATGAACAGGCAGAGAGAGTTCACCAGAACACTGCTCGAAACTGTCAAAAATGGCTTTGAGTAGGGATACCCTGCAGAGAAATTGAGAAGATTGAACCGAACGTTAATAATGAATAAGTAGCAGGTATTATAATAATATAACATATCAAGGGTTATTTTAGCAAAGCAAAATGTCTCAGGAGGAATATATTTCCAATATATGAATATGTATACATAAAAATAAAAGTTGCTGTTAGAGAAATTCCTTAAAGGACAAGAATTTTCCTGTATGCTTTTTTTTTTTTTATCATTTGCCAAGCGTTTAACACAGTAATAAACTAAAGTTAGAGACAAAATTCATTAAAGAGCTTAGCTAGCATACAGAAAATAGAAAATACTATAGTTCAGACAGGAAGACGTCATTCATTTCATGATTGGAATGCTTTCAGAAATCTTCACAGAGAATATAAATAACAAATTAAACATAGACAAGATATAAAGAGACAACAAAAGCCTGACAAAAGGTCACCGCGAGTAACCCATGTGGCAGAAGCCAGGTGTCTGGGCGGAAAACAGGAGAAAGGAGGAGCTGGCGAGGGGCGGATGGCGGCAGCACGGGCCGGGCTTCCCATGCGAAGCCTGGAGCTGACACGACGCGTAGCTCACGGGAGAGCAGGAGGCTGAGAGCGGGCGTTAGGGACACTGAACTGGTAGTGGGACTAAGAATAGGCGAAAGGAAGGGTGAGAAACGAGAGCACAGCAATCATCCGGGGAGCAAGAAACCGGAGCTTGGTGCTGCGAAGGACGAAGACAAGTGACAGGTCCCAGAGATGAGTGACAGTACCTGGCATCCTATTCACCAGAGCTCATTTTCAAAAGTAACTAACCACATCTACTCTCTTACGCTCAATGTTCATAACACTATGAGGCACTACTTTCTAAAGCACCGAACAAAATTAAAATATTTTTAGCATGTATAGACTTACATATTTTTATATTTTTATAAAGCAGCAACACATACATGAAGTCTACACAGCAATCATTAACTAGAACATCTGACACAACAAAAATCTTATTTTCAAGATCTTTCCAAACAACAGGGCATTCTAAATCGTATGCACTATGACTGAACATAAACGAGGCATCTGCTACCTGGCTGTGGCTTCTGAGACCTGGCTTCCTGTGCACCACAGGCTCTGCACGGCCTCCGGCTGAGAGGGCAGCTTATCCATGATGACCACCAGCAGCAGACACTGTGGGAACTGCAGTTCACAGGGCAGCTCTTACAGGCAACAAAAACACATTAATCACGATACAACAAATTGCTAAAACATTCCACATATTTTCAGCAGAAATCTGACTGTGATATGTAAAGAAATTAGGGGCGTAATGTTTTAAAATGAGAACTATGTTCCAAGAAGCAGAAAAAAATTCAAATACAATTTTTAAACCTTAAAAAAAAACAGGATTATTACACAGGGGAAGATAACCCCATCATAATCGATGAGATGGTCCAACACTAACTGCTTTGAAACTTACCTAATGTACTGTCCAAAACCACGTGCACGAAAGGCTGGAAGGCGAGCAGCTGACCGACGAGCGGGTCCAGGGTCACTAGGAAAGCAGCCGCTATCTCATCCTGCTGGGCTTGAGGGACCCTGGTGGCATACAGGCTTGGAGGACACTTGCTGGAAAGGGAGGGGAAACTCATTAATAGCTACCTTCTAATTTAGGACAAGCTATGTACTGCAAACCCATGTTCTTCTAACAGTGAAAATATATTAAAAAGAAGTAGCGAGTGTTTCATAAAACAAAATTCAAAGTACCAAATTAACACCATAATTGCATGAAGAACTTCAGAACTAAGTAACATGGCTATAATTCTGTAAAATTAAAAGGTTCTTAGAGAAATCTTTGGACTCTTTTCATGCATTTTAATACCATTTTGAAAATGATGTCCTTAAAAAATACTGGGAAAATACAAATCTTAAATAATCAGTAAAAGCATGTAAAAAGGTATTTGATAAATTCTGGCACAATTACTTCTATGAAAAGTTGTTTTAAAATAGGTAGAATGCGGAATTCACTACGAATTTATGCTCAGTCTCTCAGGAGCAAGAGCTTACAAATGACTGAACTATATTCACGCTGAAGGAAGATGCAAAGGCTTTTTCATGGAAAATGAACGATGGGGTTTAAACCAAACTTCAATCAAAACCTGTGAGAAATGACATATGTAGTCAATATTTTTGGCCATGTTATTTTAATTGTGACAAATTTGACAATACATAAGAAAACCTTGTCCAGCAAGAGAGTAACATTTAAAAGGCTGCACTTAAGATAACGCTTGAGGCCTCTGCAGTGTAAAAAGCACCCATCTATCAACGAGGAGTCATGTGACGGGCTCGTTCATGCCTCCCTGAGCCTGTTTTTCACTTGTGACACTGACCGGAGTTGTGAGAACTGAGTTATAAGTAAGGTGAAAAACATACATAAAATGTAGGTAATGAAACTCCGCAGACTGTGAACTACAGCTACTGAGTGAGAAAGTATGTTTTTCCATCCAATGCTGTATTTTTAACTTATTTGACAAATGTTTATTAAATGCCTATGTCTACATGCCATGCGCTGTTCCTGAATACAGCAGTAAACGAAACGCACTCCCTTTAGAATATTTTCTAATGAAGGGAGGCAGTTAAGCAAGTGACCGAGTAAATAAATACACAGTACAGCGGACGTTAACCTGCTCGCCCCAAGGATGCTCGCCAGCGGCGCTTGGGGCTGCAGCGTTTACCCTGAGTTAACTCATGGATTACAGTCCCAATCCTACCCCCAAAGTTTGTCACGGAATATCTCACTTTATCATTTTTCCATCACTCTAGTATGCTGATAGTCTTTGGAAACAAATGACATCATTCCATTTATAGCATTCTGTTTTTAGTAGTTTGATCGCTGAAAATGTCAAATCCTAGAAAACGTAGCATTCCTATTCATGGTGCTAAATGCTTTTTTCTCTAAATGTAAAAAGGGTTTTTAATTAAGTGCTATGGAGAAAAATTATAACAAGATAAAGTGGACAGGAAAACCTATTGAATTCTATTTGAATACTGAGTCAATTAAGAGTTTTGCACAGGAAAGTCACATGATCTACTCTGGCCACTGTATGGAGATGAGAGTGAGACCAGGGTAGGAACAGAGACTGTGTCAGAGGCTCCTGTGCAAAACTCCAGTCAAGAAAATAATGGTGGACAGACTGGACGGTAACAGTTCAGGTGGTGGGAAGTGGCTGGATTCTGTATACGCATGCTGAATACAAATATTTACGCTAAAGGGGATGGCAAACAGAATTTGCTAGTTAATTAGATGTGGGGTATGACAGCAAGAGACAAAAGTCAAAGATGACAGCAAGGTTTTTGAGTCAGATCAATGTGAAGAGCGAAGCTGCCATGTAAACTGAAATGAGGATGCTACAGAAGGAGGTTCTGTAGGGGGTGTGGACGAAATGGGGGGAGACGAGAGTCTGGTTTGGGTGAACTTAAGTGCAGACATCCTGACTGGAAGTTGCATTAAAGGAGACGTGAACTTAAAATTTTGAGACTAAATGACCACAGAGAAGAGGCCTGGGGCCCGGGGCCACCCAACTTAGAGAAGCTGGGGACGCACAGAGGAGGCTGAGGACAAGCCAGTGAGGTCAGAAGGGAACCAAGAGGGAGCGGTGTCCCCGGAGCCAACAGAAGGAAAAGTTCAAAAGAAAGGGTCACGTGGTGCCAACGGGCTACACGAGGTGAGTGCTGAAACTGGCCGGTGGATGCGGCGACGTGGCGGTCACTGCTGACGGTGACAAGGCTGCTTCCTGAAGGGGTGGAATGGAAAGTCTGACTGGAAGAGGTTCACGAAGGGAAGTACAGCTGACCCCTGAACCACACGGGAGGGGAGGGAGCGGGGTGGGTGGGGGTCAGGGGCGCTGACCCCTGCACAGTCACAAATCTGTATATAAATTTTAACTCACCAAAACCCAGAAGCTTGACCAATAACAAAAATAACTAACACAACTGTATTATTATGTAGTATGTGCTGTATTCTTACAATAAAGTAAGCTAAAGAAAAGAAAATGCTTCTGAGTCAGAGAACTAGAAAATACGTTTACAACGTTTACTGAAAAAAGTTCACGTGTAAGTGGACCTGAGCCGTTCAAACCCGTGTTCGAGGGTCGACAATACAGACGGCAGCACAGGCAAAGCCTTCTAAGAGTTCTGTTGCAGAGAGAGGCAGAGAAAGGGGAAGGTATTCGGAGGAGGATGCAGAGCTGAGGGGTTGTTTGTTTTCTGTATTGTTCTTAAGATAGAAAAAGCAGCAGCATGTTGGTCCACTCGTGGGAATGACCCATAGAGGGGGAGGGAAGGCTGATGACGCAGGAGGGAGAAGGCGCAACCGCTAGCGCCAGGTCCCTGGGCATGTGAGGGAGGGCGGACGCGAACGCACGAATGGGGAGGTGGCCTCGCAGTCATTCACGGGAACAAGGGAAGGTGTGAGCCTAAACACGGGGAGACTAGCCGACGTGCCGGAGGGACCGCACAGACGCTCTCTTCCAGGTGCTTCTGTTTTTCTCAACGGCATACAAAGTGAGGACACTGACTGACAACGAGCAATGGGCTGAAGCTGCTGGAGACATAGGAAGAATGAAGAGGGAGCAGTAGGAAAAAGCTGTCTAGGAGACTAAATGGATTAGGGACACATAAAGGCGCAGCCATATAAACAAGCTGACAGATTTAGCATCGAACTAATAAGGATTCTTCTGAGGTAACTGAAAATTTCAAATGTCACTTAGCCCCTTTCTAAATTATGACACTTTTCTGTAATTCGTGTTTCCGAGATGGCATTAACTACTACTTGACTTACGTCTCACAGAAATAAAATAAAAATTAATAAAAACTAAAAAAAATATGCCAATAGAAAATATATACACACAGATATTTCCTGCTTTTGGTATTCATCACGCCAGTTGTTCCTCAGTCACATATGAGGTATAGTTAAGAATACAAAGGGAAGTAAAACTCGCATGGAAGCTATTTTTTAAAAACTGTCATCTCCAATTATTTTAAGCAATCAGATAAAAGTTTACTATAAAATTATGAAAAATGACTACGATGCTTTATTTTAAAATGAAATATACTAAACTGTGACCGGGATCGAATGGCACTGCTACGTTTTGATAATCTCATGGTGTTCTCCTTACCTGTGTATCTGAAGATAAAGCTGATGCAACGCAGAGCACGAATCGGAGAGGAAGGGAAGAAATTCCTAAAATAAAACAACTCTACTCATTCTTTGGATACACTGTGCCTTCCTAATACATATCTGCTCACAAAGGCATGCAAAAGACTAAAATATAACCCTGGATATGCTACATTAAAAAAAAAAAAAAAAAGGATGTTGTATGAGAACAAAAAGGATCAAAATAGTTAAATCTATCACCAACAAGACAATTCGCAGCTATCACGTCCTGAGCACCGACTAAGTCCAGCAGACACATTCCAAACGACCTTCTGTACGTTAATTTCAGTCCTCTAAAAACTCATGTGATGTGTTATTATTTTCATTTCACAGAACAGGAAGCTGGAGCTAAAGCGGCAAGTAACTCCATCAAGTAACAGCTGAAAACTAGCAGGCTGGGCTTCGAGCACAGCCGCGACCGCTCCGCCCACTGCGGCTAAGCTCTCTTAGAACGTAAAGGAAGTTTCACAGTCTTACATGACTCAAAAAAAAAAAAAAAAAAAATGGTAATTTAAATTAAAAATTCCCGATGGGAAAAGGATTAAAAAAGGCATAAAAAAGACTTCCGGTCAAGATGGCGTAGCGTAAACGCTGTGCTCACCTCCTCCCACAACCAAATCAGAACTCCAACTAAATTACAGAACCGCCATCACTGAGAACCCCTGAAGTCTAGCTGAACAGAAGTCCTGTAACTAAGGATATAAAGCAGCAGCATGGAGACTGGGAGGAGGAGCGGAGACACAGAACAGGCAGGACCCATGCCCACGTGTGGCATTTAAGAATGGGGGAAATATCTCAGCTGTGAAGGTCCCTCCTGAGAAATGAGGGGTCCCAGTCCCATGCCAGGCTCCTCACCCCAGGACCAGCCCCAGTAAGAGAAGTCCCCATAACTTCTCGCTGTGAAAACCAGTGGGGATTGCACCAAGAGAGATGGAGGAATGCTGGAGTCCCAGACGCTCCTTTAAAACAGTGGTCCCCAACCTTTGCGGCACCAGGGACCAGTGCTCCTATAAGCATCTAATGCCTGACAATCTGAGGTGGAGCTGAGGCGATGATGCTGGTACTGGGGAGCGGCTGCAAATACCAATGAAGCTTCGCTCACTTTTCCGCTGCATACCTCCCACTGTGCAGCCCAGTTTCTAACAGGCCACGACCACTACCAGTCCGCGGGTTGGGGACGACTTAAACTGCCCACACACGAACTCACCTGCGCACAGACTCACTCGCTCTGGGCTCCAGCATAAAGGCAGTAGCCCAAGAAGTGGAAGAAATGAATTGACCAGCTTTAGGGTGAGGGCTGGAGGGTCAGGGCTCAGGTCAGCTCTTAGTGGGGACGAAAGTGCTGGCAGGTGCCATTCTTCCTTTGTTGAGCCCTGTGCCCACCCAGAGCAGGCGAGCACCAAATCTGACCTCTCTTGACCAATCCCTTAACCTAGCTACACCACTAGCCCTGCCCTAGTGATTCTGAGACTCCACTCCACTCCACCCCACCCCAC